TTTATTGGTACATTTTTTAAAGACACTTCTACGCACATTCCACATTGACATTTTATAGGAGCTTCAAAAAGTATTAAATCATTTCTGCAGCAGTGAATGCAGAGGTACATATTATCTGCTCGTCCGAACACGCCCCTATTGATACTGACATCAATATTCCAGAGTGAGTGAGTGAGTAAATATAGTTTTACGCCGCTTTTAGCAATATTCCAGCAACATCACGGCGGGGGACACCAGAAATGGGCTTCACACATTGTACCCATGTGGGGAATCGAACCCTGAGCTTCTTTTTGACGAGCGGACGCATTAACCACTAGGCTACCCCATCGCTCCCAATAAAGCTGAATAATGTTATGTTAAATACTGCTGAAATTAAATTAGTGGATTTTCGATCTTAATGTAATTGTGAGTGTGTGAGTAAGTATGGCTTCACGCCGCCTTTTGCAACATTCCAGCAATATCACAGCAGGATACGCCAGAAATAAGCGTCACACATTGTAACCATGTGGGGAATCGAACCCGGGTCTTCCGCGTGACGAGCGGACGCTTTAACCACTAGGCTACCCCACCGCCCCTAATGTAATTGTGTGAAACAGACATAGATAGGCAGAAATGCTTAATTATACATGAACGGATTTTGTACGGGATAAATCTAGAATGTTGATGAAGATGTGGACCACAAGTTTATGGCTCTGTAGATATATTTGACCTCAATGTCCACGTACATGGTAAAATTACGCGGAAATAGAAGTGACGAGGAAGTTAGCATTAACGCCAAAGGTTGTCTGCCCTTTGACCACGCGCATGGTCCATGGGTGGGATATACGACTGGAGACCATATGGGGCGTTAACTTCCAGCCGCTTAAAATCACGCCAATCGCTTTCGTTCTCAAACAAAAATGGTTGATGACGGAAATTGGAGCATGAGAGCGGAACAAAAAAATCGTGACTGGATCAACTCGGAAAACATTAATGTAGAAAGGGGCGGTGGAATAGCCTAGTGGTTAAAGCGTTCACACGTCACACTGAAGGCCCGGGTCGATCCCCCACATGGGCATAATGTGTTAAGCCCATTCCTGGTGTCCCTTGCCGTAATATAACTGAAATATTGCTAAAAGCGGAGTAAAACCATACTCACTCACTCACAAATGTAAAAATGCAGGTAACTCCTCAGCATCCCCCGTCTGCTCCAGTGTAGTCATCATGTCTGTTCCATTAGCAATGGTAATCAGAGTACATTGGTGGCTGTTTTGATCCGTAAAGATCCAGGGGAGGTAACTCTTGGCTAGGCGCTCTACCACCCTACCGGCTACATTAGACAACCAGAAAGAACTACTCTCGTTTTGTGTGTGGATGCTTATTAAACGTTGACCTGATATCTCAGATGATCGAGTCTTCACGAGACATTCCCAGCCTCAGGGTGTTCATAGTTTGGACCCGGTTTGTTGTTAATATCTCTTCATCCAATGATCCAATCGATCTCAAGCTGTGCAAGTGGATGTTTTGTCAGACAACCTAATCACATTGTAAATCACCGATTTTATGCATTTGTATTAAAGACTATGTCTGTGTAACTGTCAACAAAATAAACAGCAGAACGCAGACTGCTTGCAGAGAGAGGGAGCCAATGACCTGTAACAGCGGCAGTGTTGGGTCATAAAGGTCAACGTTCGTCAATGTAGGTGAGCTATGAACGTGACTGGTATGAAGAGGTGTCACAGGTCGTGAATAGGGTAAGGTGGGTGCCAACTGTTAACCATCATACAGAGTTTGTTTCTCTGAGTTGTTCAACATTAACCACAAAACCCATTAGTGAGAATTATTCTGTAGGTTAAAATCTTTAAATTTGTAACGTTAATGTCATATTTTGTTTATGCAGTGCCTAAGTGGAAATGCATTTAAAGAACACAGAAAGTATATTTACACTAAATCATTAATCGGGCCACCTATGGTTAGAACTCAACAACTATTAAAGCCCCGTTCCCTCGGACACAAGCACACACAATCATGCACACTCACTGAAGAAAAGATAGAATGAAGACAAAAGTGTTATGTTTTGATGTCGATCACATTCAAAATTAAGCAATGCATTTCTAATAGCTTTAAGCATATAAAAAGTTAATCTGTATATTTTCATGATAATTTTATGTGAAATGAGTGTTTCATGTTACACTATAAGTCGTTGGAATTAGTCAGTGCTGTCATTGTTAAAAGAAGTTATATTTCTTTGAGCATATCTGTTTGGATACTATTATTATCTGTAAATGTAATAACAGAATTAAATTTCATCAAGTTCACTCCATTCTTCCAAAGAGGAGTTATCAGAGTCCAGACGAATGACAACTGGATTAACTGTTTGCTCCGTCAAGCCATCTTTGAGCCAGTACTCTTTCTCCACCTTCTTGACATGTTCAGCACATGCATGCCAGCGTGCAATGTCAATGTGACATATAGCAGTGTTGACAATGTGCTTGACATCATTCAACATGAATGATTGATTTTTCCGGGCCACTGTACTTTTAAGGTCTCCCCAGATAAGTTCGATTGGGTTGAGATCACAATGGTACGGTGGTAATCTCAAGACCTTCTGGCCGTGTTGGCGTAGCATGTTGTCAATGTTATATGTGGGTGGAGGTTTGTTAGGTTTAATCAAAGAGTACAACTGTGGTTTAGTGGCCTTAATTGAAAATTGTATATTGTTTTTTGTTAGCCATTGCTGCATATCTGACTTCTTTGTATTGGAAGTTGGGCATCTATTGTTTGGATCTCGAACACTGTGATAGGGAGCATTGTCCATGACAACAAGACTTTTGTAAGGCAGAGCTGGCAACAATTGTCCCTCAACATACTGTGTGAAAACCGTTGAGTTCATTTCTGTATGATAGTCCCTACCATCTGTGCTCTTTGACCGAAATACCAGATCACACCCGGGTAGGAATCCACGGTGGGAACCATCCTGAAGAACGATTAAACGTTCACCTTTGCCTGTTGGTATTTTCCTACCATCACTGGGATCAGTGGGTAGCCACTGTCTGGCAGCAGTATGGTTTGCATTGACCCAGGTCTCATCCAGATATATAGGTTCGAACCCATCCTCTCTTGCCTGCTTAATTTCTCTCAGATAGTTACACCTTATTTTCACAATATCAGATCTCTCATACATTACAAGTTTCTGGTTTGCTACCTTCTTGTACTTGTATCCAAATTTGAGCAGTAGTTTGCTTAGCATAAACCTAGAAACATTAATGAATGACATCTCTGATGACCCTGATGTCAAAAGAATCTAACTTTGGATGCCTACCTTTTTGTGCAAGGTTTTGTTTATTGGTTGTTGGTTTATTTTCACAATTTTTAGCACGGTGTTCTTTTTCATGCCAAGAGCAAAAGTCGTACGTTTCATGTAATCTGACACCTTATAAATCGGTTTGCTACGTTTGCTCTCTTTTTAAAAAAAAATTCAACACATTTCTCATTAAACGTTTAGCATCATCTGAATAAGCTTTCATGATGACAGCTAGAAGGAGTCAATGTGAATGATCCAAACGGTCTATCACTGTGCAGTGCACAGGTAACTATCATTAACTGCACGTGCATTAACCTTTATGACCCAACACTGCCGCTGTTACAGGTCATTGGCTCCCTCCCTCTACAAGCAGCCTGCGTTCTGCTGTTTATTTTGTTGAGAGTTACATAGACAGATTCTTTAATACAAATGCATAAAATCGGTGATTTTTAATGTGATTAGGTTGTCTGACAAAACATTCACTTCAAAGTTTGAGATCGATTGGATTATTGGATGAAGAGATATTTACAAAAAAACGGGTCTACATGCATTTCATGCCAAACTATAGAGCTGGTAGATGGCTCAGGGTCAGACCTGACGAGTCTGCTTCGGTGAGGCATCAGTACTATAGATCCAAGAGCAGTGTCAGCAGAGACCATATAATAGATGTATTATATGGTCTCTGGTGTCAGACATCCCCGATAATCCAGCCAGACATGTTCTGGTCACCAACTGGTCCGTGTTCTGTGTCGAACTCACTCACAGGCTCACAGTGTGATTGGAATTGACCAGCTGATTGCAGCATGTTGGTCGCCATTTTACAAACTGGCTGCTCTCGTGCTGACTCGCAGGCGAGAAAAGTTTTCGGCCGTGTTTGTTTTCTCTGATGGCCGGCAGTCCAGGTGATACCCACACAAATAACAATTGTGTCAAACTGAAGTGGCCTCAATTGATAATTGTACCAATTGATCAGAACACCAGTAATCAAGCGCTTATCAGAGCTTAATTTGCGTGTATAACTCCTTGGGGTCTCCATTCGTAATGACTCCAGGGCTCGCCTCGTTCTCTCATGTGATCACGATCTAAGACGTGATTGGTTGAAATATAACCACACATGTACCACGTTAAATGGATCAAATATAGTTTAAAGACGTCATTCGTTTATAAGTTGGGCACCAATAACGTTATTTTCAAGGGACATAAGCCATGGTGCGTTTATTGTGGACATGGATCTCTCGGTAAATGTACAAAATATGAATCGATATAACTGTACTGTTTTGGATATGAGCCTGCTTCAAAAAACACTTTTTATGCAGACAAAGAAGGTAATATTCGTGTAAACACGCCCTTTAGTAGGGACCATATAATAGAGCACACATGACAGTATTCATCAAATACAAAGACAAATATATGCTTAGGCACCCTAATACACCTCAAACACACTGTTGCAAATATAAGTATATACATGAGAATAAATGAAAAAAATATTAAGTCTTGCCTTTGCAAGGAAAATACGCGAAATCGATGACTGAAGTGAACAGACGTTTTCGCCAGCTTCCAGATAGGCTGCGCAGAACAAGCCGTAGCGCTGATGGTTTTGCGCATTGGCTTGAGGGCCGTCCGTCCCTCTATTATATGGCCTCTGCCTTTAGGTAACTATGTGAGCGAGCATGAACCGTTAACAACGAAGATCTAGTTAATGAAAGATAAAGCGAACTGAAGCTCAGATTTCTTTATTGTAAAAGCAATGAGTATAACACAATCGTACATACACACAAATATGGATTGCTGCAAAGATGTAACACAAAATGTGAATTTACATAACACTTCATTCAATTTTGCAATTCTGTTTGCATTTAATATATGCAAGTGGATTTCCCAGGTGTCAAAGATATATTAAACTACAGTTAAACTGACGGGCTAAAGAAACGCTTCCATAGATTAAATCACTATTGTGAAATAACCACAAAAGATAGATCCGTAAAACAAAATGAACAGAGAGAATCGCCTGTCACCCGAGAATAGCACTCTCTGCCATTCAAGTCAGTGAAAACGTTGAACCGTCCATGCCCATCTAAGTCTCCGTCGAAGCTGTTTGGCTGTTAACTGTTGTCCCCGGAAAGGTCTGAAAGCCCGGATTCCACAGGACCTCGGCCGTCTGGCTACTGTGTATCGGCTTACACGGTGACCCAAGCCATGCGCCGCTTGTGACGTCACCGCCAGGAAGGGGTTTCTGAGATGAAGGGGTTTTTGAGCGAAAAACATGCAAACTGTATTTGGACAATGTATGGCATGCCTTATTTCCAAGTGGAAAGGTCATTGTTGCGCTTGGGCGATGTGTTGGTGATGGTGATTGTGATTGCAGCTGCAATTTCATTTTCAAAGTGGTAACGTTTCTTTAGTCCTTCAGTTTATATAAACGTACTAATAATTTATTAAGAAATATTATATTGCAGCCATCACGTGTTGCCGGATTAAATATATAGATCTGCACACGAAGAAAAAACCCATAAAGTTACCAAGAATTTTGATTATTGACGCTTAGTTTTTTGCAAAGCTAATCTGTCTGAAAAGGTCTTTCATACCGAAGTGCACCTAGGATTCTGTTACGTACTAATGGCGCATCCGATGAAATTGTAATTGCAAATTTCCGATTGACAAATAGATGGGGAAGGTCGTGAAAGGCAAATATAGACAGGATTTATAGTCTGTTTGCAGTGAAAACGTACCGATCAATTTCACTTTGAACAAGAAAAATAAATCAAATAAAGTGAATTAAGATTGCAAATCCTCATAATTTTACCTTGCCAATTGAACATTTAAATCTCAGAATTTTATTCAACTTAGGATAAAAGTTGTTTAACAATAGATCATAGATTCAAATGGCTATTACTGGTTTGTATTACAATGGGGTAAGCGCAGTAGTTGGAACAGTGAAACAAATGCACGTGCGGTAAGTGAAGAGCGTTAACTTAGAACAACCCTAGTTATTCTCGGTGTTTCATTTGATGTGCATAAGTTGAATAAAATTAAAGAGATTTAAGTGTTCAATTGGCAAGGTAAAATTATGAGTACTTGCAATCTTAATTTCACTTTATTTGTTTTACCTTTTGGTTTAAAGTGAAATTCATCGTTGCAAACAGACTATACATAGGTTCAAGCTTTGGGCTAGTAGAAGTTCACTCCCCAAATTCGTTTTATATCAAGAAGTACACGAGCTAACTTGTGTATGTAGTTAGTTAAAAAACGTATTCTGTTTCGTGAAATTCAGATTCATGCACCTAATGTTATAGATAACATAACTTTCGGGATATCGTGTGTCTTTGGTCTAAATTGAAAATGATAGAAGAAAAGCCACAGTTACGCTAACAGCTTGGTTCTTCCTCGCGGTCACTCCTTATGCGGCTGGAGAATCTGAAGTTATACAACAATCACCATCATCATCATCATCATCATCATCATCATCATCATTATCATCATCATCATTATCATCATCATCATCATCATCGTTGTCGTCGGCGTCATGATCATCATATTATCATCATCCCTTGACACTATCATCAGCTTGACACTATATGTCACATTTTCATCATAAACGTCATTACACACCATTACCAGTTTCATTATCGTCATCACTATTACCTGCATATCAGTTGAAAAATCTATCGATGTAAATGTATGAGGGAATTGGTATTAGTGACCTCTGAAGATCTCCATTTAGACAGAAATAACTTACCATTGCAAGCCGTGAAACACGTGACAGTCACAGTCTCGCTTTGACCCGCCGACCCTCCATCCGCCAGCAACCGGAAGTAGTACAGAGTGTCTGACTGGAGCTGCTTGACAACGAGTGTCTGTCGTGTCTGGGACTTGTCTTGGTCTGCCACTAAACGACTAACTCTCCATACAGTTGAGTCTTGGTGAAGATGGAAGAGAACGAACCTCGACACCCCTGTACGAGTGTCATTGTAGGTCCACTGTATCTTAACGCTGGAGGCCGAGTGCTCCGTACAATAGAAATCGGTTGGAGGGGAGGGCTTCGTGGCTGTAACGAAATGGGTTTCCGTGTTTATCGCACCTTTGTCCCAAGGATCACACATGGGAATAACGTGTACTTGACAACAACGATGATAAGCATTACATATTTAGGGGAGAAATATACAATACTCACCAGGACGAATGGTGGTTGTAGGAGATGTTGGTACTGAAAATAGAATTGATATCTTGTTGTTATTTTAGCATCAGATGCGTGATAAGATGAATTAGGTACACTTAAAATCCATCGACAAAAGGCACACACACAAACGCACGCACGCATGCATGCACCCTTCGTCTCTGTACCGAATGTCAGTTAAATTTCCCTGAAGGCGCACAAAGCTAAGATAAATCTCCCGCCACCATTACGCTCCCACCCCCATATTGGTCAATTTGGACGTCCATAAACACGTACACTTCCGTCACGGCACTGATTATGCAATACTCACAATTATGCAATACTCACCAGGACGAATGTAGGTTGTAGCGGATATTGGTACTTGACCTAAAATTGATATTTTATTATTATGTTGGTATCCGATGCCCGTAAGATGGACTGGGTACACTTAAAAGCCCTCGAAAACACACACACGCACGCACACACACGCATGACCGCACATGCATGTCGTGGGCATGTTGCAAATAATAAACACAAGCTGAATATTTTAGTATATATGATTTCTTATATGAAAAGTATTCATTGGTTTATATATATATATATATATATATATATATATATATATATATATATATATATATATATATATATATATATATATATATATATATATATTGGTAGTGAGTGTGACTAAACAAGCAACTGTAGATTAATGATATGAAACTGACACTGAGTTACAAATAGTACTGAGGAAGTGAGTTAATATTTATCGTCACAACGGCAATATTTCAGCCATATCGTGACGAGGAGAGTTTATAATTATATTATAGATCAATAAAGTAAGACATTAAAAAACCTGTTGACGAAGAACAGTAAAACTACTAGAGTATCACAGATATCCATTTAAAACTAGCAATTAAATCTAAAGTATTGGAACTATAAATGGCAATACAATATATAAAACAGGCTATAGATTGCTAAGGACTGAAGGTAGATCACTATACTAGGGACCATGGGGACTTACAGTACATTTGCTTCCTGCATGGTAATTTTCATTCGTGTTTATAATGTTTCTTATAAGTAATCATTTAGCTGGAGTATTGCTGAGTGCGGAAATAAACAAAGTAATTGGTCTTTATTATATAAAGGACTTGAATATGACACCCAGATATGAAATATTATCTTTATCTTTATGTCTATTTATGGATTAAAGTACGAAACGGATACAGAGTTACGAATAGTACTACATGTATCTCCAAATATTGATATGCATTCATGTTTATACAATCGTAATATTTCCACAGCTACACATCTTAGTTTTGAAATGGGCTGGCGCTTAACCTTTTATTCTTGGTGTATATTAAGGGCTCGAACAGAAAAAATTCTATATGAAATCTTACCAACAACATAAACCGTCTTGTTTGCACTGTAGTCTGCACTAATGACAGAACACCTGAACTGTCTCCCATTGTCTAGATTCGAGACTGTATGAACCAGTGTTGACGCCCCTGTATACTGACATTCCGCTGACGAAGTAGGAGGTTCGTAGGTGATGTTTTGGTCGTTGGGGTACCGTGTCCAGGAGGCGAACTCGGCGTCTACAGATCGCCACTCCCATGTCCACAGGTTCTGGAGGTTGTTCTCATCAAACTGGTTCCCGATCCGTCCTGTACATCTGATGGACAAGAGCTGACCATCGTCATACTGGACCCTGTCAGGAGTAGGGAACATCTCTATCTGTTCTGGGTAGGCTGAAAGATATGATAGAAACTGTCTGTTCATATTCTTGGTTTTTTTTGCGACAAAGAATATCAATACTACGAGACACAGGTTCATGTGTACACGTGTACTCTGGATTACTAAAAGACAACTTTAGGACATCTAACATTTTAGCATCCGTAAAGATCTGGGGTAGAATTGGTCTTCAGTAACCTATGCTTGTCGTTAAGACGATACACGGGATCGGGTGGTCAGGCTCGCTGACTTGGTTGACACATGTAATCGTATTGATGCTCGTGCTGTTTGGTCAAGACTTGATTATTTACAGACCGCTAACATATAGCTGGCATATTGCATAATCTAAGATAGTTCATATATAAACAAACGCACTTCTAGCTGTGATGTTGGTTGTGGCCTCATCACTTCCACCTGACCCCGCCAAGTATAACGTTTTGCAGTAGTATGTAGAAGCAGCATCATCACATCTCAGATCTGTCAGGATGAACTGTATGTTGCCTGTTGCTCCACTGATAGAACCTGAGGCTGTGATCCGCTGTTGTAGACTTGTGTCCACTACTTGTACTGACGTATATGTGTTGGTCATTTGTATTATAGGCTGATCAGAGCCAGTAGAAGACTTCTTGCCAATCTCTATGTAATACACTGTAGTTATCCCAGGTGCATCTGGCCTGCAACTTAAAGTCAACTGAGATGTTGGGTTACTGCCCCCGACTGTTATTTGATTCGGTGATGCAGTCAGGCTTGCCCCGGTGACTGAAAAAATATGTTCATATCAAGTACCGATGCAGAAGTCGAGCAATCGAAACATTCAAACATCTGCTGTGAATCATGTATAACATTGTAACAGAAATGATGTTAACTTTTGCAGACATGAAGGAAAAAGTTCACACTGCCAGCAAATGCAATAGTCGAGTATCATCATATGGTTCCATATATGGCGATTGTGATACCCGTTCTACCACGTAATGCCAGTGCGTAATTAAGGAAATATCATGAAAGGAAAATTCGTAGATTATATTATATTTCGGGATCGAAAACAAAATAACTGATAACAGCTATACAATATCTCTTTGATAACTGTGTTCCCATGACACGTGGGGCGGTGGGGTAGCCTAGTGGTTCAAGCGTTGGCTCGTCACGCCATAGACCCGAGTTCGAATCCCACATGGTTACAATGTGTGAAGCCCATTTCTGGTGTCCCCCGCCGTGATATTGCTGGAATATTGCTAAAAGCGGCATAAAACCAAACTCAGACAGTCAGTCAGTCCCATGACACGTACTTCATCGTAGTGCAGCACTACACTGCCACAGGTTATTAGACAGCATATGAACACTTCTGCAGGTACTCCCAGGTCATGGGTGGCTTATTCCAAGCAACACAGATGACTCTTGATTGTTTATTGTTTATTGCCGCACTCAGCAATATTCCAACTATATCGCGGCGGTATGTAAATAATCGGGTCTGGACCAGAAAATCAGATGATCAAGCATGAGCGTGAATTTACGCAATTGGGATACCATGACGTGTCAGTCTTACTCAGCAGCCTGACCACCTGATCCCGTTCGTCGCCTCTTACGGCAAGCATTGGTAGATGAAGACCCAAGAACGCGGGTCTTCACAGTACAAATGACTGTTGTGAAGACCTTTGAAGTACAGTGTTTCAAGTTCCAAATACACCAATTGAACGTCTGGCATTTGAGAAGCTGTTTCGATATTAGATTTTTGAGGATGTACATGAATGAATATGTTCACATAGATAACAAATCCTAAGTTAACTAACTCCATTCCATTCCCTGTATTCATGAACCAAGTGTCGAAACTGACTCCAGTTCTACCTCTTTTACAACCTAATGCCAGCGCCTAAAAGTAGACATATCACAAGAAGCTATGTTGGAGTGTGGAAACAAAATGATCTTCAGCAAACAATGTGATGAATGATTTCTTACAGTAAAAACACCAATGAAGATCCGAGTTAGAATATTGATCTTCAGGAAACCATGCTTGTCGTAAGAGGCGACTTACGGGATCGGGTTGTCAGGCTCGCTGGCTTGGTTGACACATGTCATCGGTTCCCAGTTATGCAGATCGATGATCATGCTGTTGATCACTGGATTGTCTGGTCCAGACTCGATTATTTACAGACCGCCGCCTTATAGCTGGAATATTGCGGCGTAAAACTAAACTCACTCACTCACTACAGTAAAGAGTCCTTCCTTCTTGTTATAGATGGGGGCATAGACTAAGGCTTAGTCTCTGAATATATATAATTTTGATAGTAACAAACCAGCCCATTTGTATTGAAAAGGAGCCCTAGGGAGACCAGAGATTCCTGAACCTAAGGAAATCTAGACTTGCTATATTTAGGGATTTAGCACTGCAGAGAAGGCTTGGCAGTGGGGAAAATAATGTGGTTCAGGGACTGTGAGACAGACTAATGGGGGCACGATGTCCGTACTTACCTCCAGACACAAAGGTCATGAAAGTCAGGAGACAGACGAGATGACAAGGCGTCATGCTTGGTTCTTCCCAGTAACGAATTCCTGTTCCTGAAACATGTCAAGGTATGGCGGCTATGAAACGTCTCCTTCCTTTTCCTGTTGTATTTCTTGATCAGATCTATCATGTGGTTTGTTTACAGTAACCATTTCGTTACTTGTCTGTCGACAATAGTGTCGTATTTCTACAGCAGATCATTACATGTGGTTTGTTTACAGTAAGCATGTTGCTACTTGTCTCTCGGGTTGTTACATAAGAAGAACAAATGAAACACATTATATGTTTCTGTGCCCACTTTCGGTATCAACTACACAGACAGTATCATTAAACACCCAGATATAAAAACAATGCATGTTATGAATTTCTAAAACGATGGTAAACATACCATGTTAAATGCAAACATATCCCTCATGCAACATGTCAAATACTTTTGAGATGGAATGCATTTTCCAAGAATATAAACCAATTGAAGCTGATATACGTATTTAGCATACTTTAGAAAGCCTACAGAAAGTTCACGATTCACAACTCGTGGTCCTCAAGTTGGTTTGATATATCTGTCGAAAATTGGTTCCCATCAATATATGAAAGATCACGATCACTAATAATAACAACTGCAGCAGTATCGATGTAAACATACGTGCTTCGAACAAAGTCTTCTTGTAATAGTAGATACAGCTTTCACACCTTTGTTCCGTGAACCACACCTACCTGTTGATGCGATCTCACCGATGTTAAATGCAGTGACTTCAGCAATGGTGTGGTGTTAAAAGCACCCCCTGTGCACCGTATACCTTGAGTTGTGGCGACACAGTGTCAATACTATGACGCATTGCCCGTGCGATAAGATTATTTATTACCCACGTGGTCAACGTATGGGTAGTTGCATACTAATCTCGTACGTCACACGAGTGTCGTGTCACGTTGACCTGTGTCGTAACGACTTGACCTGAGATTCTAACGATTTGTTTGGATAACCGATGACCTCTCAATTAGGTCACATTCTGACGTAACTATCTCTATGTTCATCAAATATTTAAGAAATACACTTCGCTCTACCACCATGTATAGTGTAATAAAACACACTTTTGCCCTGAACTATTATAGTTACAGCACGAGGACGCTGGTAGGGCGAAGTGTATTTCTTTTCTAAGATGCCAAATTTAATACTTTCTAAAGATAGTTACGATTAATTTAAGGCAGAAAACAAACGACGGTGTCGGTGACCTAAATTAAGAATCCTCGCACAGGGCTAACTGGCGCGCTGTTCTATTGATGTGTCTGCCCCCTACGTTAAGACGAACGTTACCAGAAAAAAACAAATGATAACGGTTTGATGACGGTTTACCATATGGGGCAATATGAACGTTGCATTTCTACTACCAGCGTAAGTTTAGATCAGTACATCCAGAGGAAGTTGAGTAGTCAAGCGACATTCCACAATTGCATTGTGGGAATGTAAACATTACGAACGTTACCGTGTCGCTGAAAACTTGTGAGTCGAAATGACACATTTTAACCGTCGTAAAACATAAACGTAATGTTTCCACCAGTGATGTTAGCTGCGTGAAGCAACTGCAAACCAAGAAACTGGATGCAACGGTGTAGTTTACTGTAGGAGGCCGTACGAGGCGATGACAACTGACATGCATCGTGACGTCGCTTACATTGTGACGTAATGTAAAATGGTTCGATTACGAGGGCACACTAGAATGGCGCAGTGACGGGAAAACGTCATTCAATTGTTACGTCATCAAAAAACTATACCTTTATTGTCTGATAATGTATTTTTTCTTCGATTGTTCTAGCCGCTAGGCATCATAGAATACAGTACAAAACTCTTCCGCAACCTCTTTATGAAACCGGTTTCGGTTTGAAACCAAAATATTAACAAAAATACGCTATTTTGTCAATTTAATGCATGTTAGACGTGGGTAATAAATAAAATTACCACACTCGGTCTCATTACATTACGAATTATACGAAACTCGTGACCTTCCTATGATATCTGACCTCGCTTTCGCTCGGTCAGATACCATAGGAAGGACACTCGTTTCGTATAATTCGTATGTAATGAGACCTCGTGTAGTATTCTCTATTTACAGAACAAAAGTAAGGTTTTGAACAGTGTTTGTGACTGTTGATGTATGACACTGATGTGAAAGTTCAAGTCCTGCCCAGATTTCCTTCACAACGGTCACAACAGTAAGGAAGAGAATTTATGGGTGTCAACTTCAAACTGAAGTGCAAATGCTTTCGGAATATATCCTTCTTTCACTATGGGAATAATTGTTAGAATGACAAGATGGTATATACACATGGAGAAGGTATCGCAACACTTCATATTTTTCAAGTTCAGTACCATCCCTGACGCTGCACCGCCCTGATAGTATCAGATGTATAATTTGCAGTGAGGTATTGCGATAAATCCTTGATGAGTCTCCTACCTTTTCCTGTTGTATTTCTTGATCAGATCTATCATGTGGTTTGTTTACAGTAACCATTTCGTTACTTGTCTGTCGACAATAGTGTCGTATTTCTACAGCAGATCATTACATGTGGTTTGTTTACAGTAAGCATGTTGCTACTTGTCTCTCGGGTTGTTACATAAGAAGAACAAATGAAACACATTATATGTTTCTGTGCCCACTTTCGGTATCAACTACACAGACAGTATCATTAAACACCCAGATATAAAAACAATGCATGTTATGAATTTCTAAAACGATGGTAAACATACCATGTTAAATGCAAACATATCCCTCATGCAACATGTCAAATACTTTTGAGATGGAATGCATTTTCAAGAATATAAACCAATTGAAGCTGATATACGTATTTAGCATACTTTAGAAAGCCTACAGAAAGTTCACGATTCACAACTCGTGGTCCTCAAGTTGGTTTGATATATCTGTCGAAAATTGGTTCCCATCAATATATGAAAGATCACGATCACTAATAATAACAACTGCAGCGGTATCGATGTAAACATATGCGTGCTTCGAACAAAGTCTTCTTGTAATAGTAGATACAGCTTTCACCTTTGTTCCGTGAACCACACCTACCTGTTGATGCGATCTCACCGATGTTAAATGCAGTGACTTCAGCAATGGTGTGGTGTTAAAAGCACCCCCTGTGCACCGTATACCTTGAGTTGTGGCGACACAGTGTCAATACTATGACGCATTGCCCGTGCGATAAGATTATTTATTACCCACGTGGTCAACGTATGGGTAGTTGCATACTAATCTCGTACGTCACACGAGTGTCGTGTCACGTTGACCTGTGTCGTAACGACTTGACCTGAGATTCTAACGATTTGTTTGGATAACCGATGACCTCTCAATTAGGTCACATTCTGACGTAACTATCTCTATGTTCATCAAATATTTAAGAAATACACTTCGCTCTACCACCATGTATAGTGTAATAAAACACACTTTTGCCCTGAACTATTATAGTTACAGCACGAGGACGCTGGTAGGGCGAAGTGTATTTCTTTTCTAAGATGCCAAATTTAATACTTTCTAAAGATAATTACGATTAATTTAAGGCAGAAAACAAACGACGCGTGTCGGTGACCTAAATTAAGAATCCTCGCACAGGGCTAACTGGCGCGCTGTTCTATTGATGTGTCTGCCCCTACGTTAAGACGAACGTTACCAGAAAAACAAATGATAACGGTTTGATGACGGTTTACCATATGGGGCAATATGAACGTTGCATTTCTACTACCAGCGTAAGTTTAGATCAGTACATCCAGAGGAAGTTGAGTAGTCAAGCGACATTCCACAATTGCATTGTGGGAATGTAAACATTACGAAACGTTACCGTGTCGCTGAAAACTTGTGAGTCGAAATGACACATTTTAACCGGTCCGTAAAACATAAACGTAATGTTTCCACCAGTGATGTTAGCTGCGTGTGAAGCAACTGCAAACCAAGAAACTGGATGCAACGGTGTAGTTTACTGTAGGAGGCCGTACGAGGCGATGACAACTGACATGCATCGTGACGTCGCTTACATTGTGACGTAATGTAAAATGGTTCGATTACGAGGGCACACTAGAATGGCGCAGTGACGGGAAAACGTCATTCAATTGTTACGTCATCAAAAAACTATACCTTTATTGTCTGATAATGTATTTTTTCTTCGATTGTTCTAGCCGCTAGGCATCATAGAATACAGTACAAAACTCTTCCGCAACCTCTTTATGAAACCGGTTTCGGTTTGAAACCAAAATATTAACAAAAATACGCTATTTTGTCAATTTAATGCATGTTAGACGTGGGTAATAAATAAAATACCACACTCGGTCTCATTACATACGAATTATACGAAACTCGTGACCTTCCTATGATATCTGACCTCGCTTTCGCTCGGTCAGATACCATAGGAAGGACACTCGTTTCGTATAATTCGTATGTAATGAGACCTCGTGTAGTATTCTCTATTTACAGAACAAAAGTAAGGTTTTGAACAGTGTTTGTGACTGTTGATGTATGACACTGATGTGAAAGTTCAAGTCCTGCCCAGATTTCCTTCACAACGGTCACAACAGTAAGGAAGAGAATTTATGGGTGTCAACTTCAAACTGAAGTGCAAATGCTTTCGGAATATATCCTTCTTTCACTATGGGAATAATTGTTAGAATGACAAGATGGTATATACACATGGAGAAGGTATCGCAACACTTCATATTTTTCAAGTTCAGTACCATCCCTGACGCTGCACCGCCCTGATAGTATCAGATGTATAATTTGCAGTGAGGTATTGCGATAAATCCTTGATGAGTGGCTTGTACCAATAAATCAAGATTTTGTACTGACGATTTCTCTGGCGACCCATAATGTCCCAAACATGTTCTACGGGATTGAGATCTGAACTCTTGAGTTTTAGTGCTGTTGCTTACAGAAATCCACGTCGCACTGACCAAAAAAAACAAGCCATAAATATTAAAGTATGAAAGTGAATTGGTGAATTTTTAAGGCAATAATTGCTGTGGTCGACTGCCAGTCCCTGACCATATCTGGACAAAATCCCGTTTTAAGGTGAGTGAGTGTAGTTTTACGTCGCTTTTAGCAATACTGCAGCAATATCACGGCGAAGGACACCAGAAATGGCTTCACCGTTTGTACCCATGTGGGGAATCGAACCCAGGTCTTCGGCGTGACGAGTGAAGGCTTTAACCACTAGGCTACCCCATCGTTACCCGTTTCCAATGTGTAACCTTCAAATACTTGAAACCAAACAAGGACCCACTCTGTGGCAGAGTGTTAATATTGTACGAGCTTCACTCAGGTGTTGCGACAAGTCTTTGAAACACTTCACATTAAAGACCGCCATGTTGCTGTACAAACAGTCACACGTACAATCATAGCAAGCCCGGGATTAGTCAGGTCGAGATGAATGCACTAATGTACGCATCATCTAATGGTAAAATTAATTTCAATTCTTATATTATTCCCCTTTAACTTTATTAATCTCCAGTTGTTGACTTGTTGACAACTTGTGTGCAAATTGGATTTGTACAAGGTGAATGTACTTAATGTACACGTGAGCATTAATCAAGCACCTTTTTGATTTGGTAATTAGGAAAATTCTTATATTATTCCCCTTTAACTTTATTAATCGGCAGTTGTTGACTTGTTGACAACTTGTGTGCAAATTGGATATTTACAAGGAGAATGTACTTATTGTACGCGTGAGCATTAATCAAGCACCACACACCTTTCTGATATGGTAAGTAGGAAACCACTTCAAGCTGACGTATACAGAAGGAAGGTACTCTCATCAAAGTCGAGTGATTAACTGCCTTTGACGTCAAACGTCTATCGGCATGCCCAAACTGGCATGTTCTGATGGAAAAGTAAGCAGCCTTATTTTGGGAGTTGTCACTGTTTTAACTAATAGTTCAGTATGAATTAGGTGGGGCAATGTGGGTGTTCCTTTATGAAATATAGATCGTGTTTTGAGAGCAGGACACGTTTCAACGTTAACGATTCTAGTAGTTCAGTTTCCTGTCCTACCTGACAAGCCATGCTTCCTCCACTTGGCTAAACTTGATGAGTGAGTGAGTGGGTTAGTTGTACACCGCACTCAGCAATATTCCAGCTATATGGCGGTGGTCTGTAAATAATCGAGTCTGGACCAGACAATCCAGTGATCAACAGCATGAGCATCGATCTGCGCAATTGGGAACCGATGACATATGTCAACAATGCCAGCGAGCCTGACAACCCGATCCCGTTAGTCGCCTCTTACGACAAGCATGGGTTACTGAAGGCCAATATTCTAACACAGACCTTCTCGGGTCCTTCTAAACTAAGAGAAAGTATAGGTCGAGTTTGACTATCCATATAAACGACACAACACAAAATGTTGATTACAAGTATAATTAAATGGAGAATGGTTACAGATGATCATTCAAGCACATTATGAAGGATGTTCTGACAACACATATTGTATGAGCGATAGTCAACAATCGTGGATTAGAACATATTAGTTGTCAGTGATATCAGAACCCTCACACGCGATTGTCTAGCTCTATGTTAGTTCATCTGAGACACAATGGCGGTCTCAGTTACGTGTATGACCCCCACGTGCCTCAATGCATGCTGTGATACGTCGTCTCATTGATAACAGACCTCTGATGACATTTGCTGGAATCCTTTTCCACTCCACCCTCAGGACACGCTCCAGCTCTCTATATATTGTCAATGGGTTGTTGACAATTTCTTATCTGTTTCTTAAGATGGTATCATATATGCTCTATCGGATTCATATATGGTGGGGGCGGTGGGGTAGCCTAGTGGTTAAAGCGTTCGCTAGTCTCGCCGAGGACCCGGGTTCGATTCTCCACATGGGTACAATGTGTGAAGCCCATTTCTGGTGTCCCCCGCAGTGATATTGCTGGAATATTGCTAAAAGCGGCGTAAAACCAAACTCACTCACTCATATCTGGTGAGTGGCCAGGCCAGGGAAGGACATGCATGTTGTGTCAGTCCTGCTGTATGGGGCCTGGCATTGTCCAGTTGAAACACTGTTTCCTGTGGTTGGTATTGTATGAATAGGAGCACAACTGGTTGTAGCACCTGTTCTTTGTACTGCACTGCGTTTCAATCCCCTGCACAACTACCAGGTCGGTCTTCTGTTCCCCACATATAGCGTCCCACACCATGATGCCCTCCGCCGCCGAAAGGCTGGACCTGTTGAATGCACACAGGAGATAGTCGTTTACCTCTACGGCTATAAACCCGTTCTCTGCCAACATTCAGAAACAACTTTAAACGACACTCGACGGCAAACAGCACTTGGCGCCACTGCCTCACCTGACAGACTCGAACACGCCAAGCCCATCGTAATCTCAGACGTCGATGCTGCACTGTCACAAATATCCCCCGGAAGGGACGGAGGGCTCTAACTCCTGCAGAACAAGTCAATGTAGTACTGTACGTGGGCCATTGCGATGTCCCAGTGCTCTTGCAGCCGTCGCCGTCGCCGTCGCCGTAACGAACCTGTTTCGTAGGTGGATGATCCTTATTTGCTGATCTTCCTGTGGGGCTATGACGAGTGGTCTTCCCGTTCTGGGCATCTCCTCAGTCCTTCCTGTCAGCTGGTATCGTTCTAGAAGCCTCGATACCGTCAGTGGCGCACGCCAGAACCTTCTGGCAATTTCGACTTGTGTAGCCCCCATTTCGACTCTCTCCCTTTCTTCACGTGTTAATCCCGGCATGTCTTTGGTGTGTTTTTATCAGCTATCATACCATGCTATGTTGTGATCGAATTTATACAGCACTTCGCCATATTTAAAAAAACAACAAACAAGACTTTTGCCAAACTATACTTTCTTTTGCCTCTTAGTTAAACTCGGTTTTAAATCGGGTTCTCCAGCTTCATCATCAAGGTCTTTATATATCCAATCACCTCCATGAATTAGTTTGACCATTTTTACTGCTCCGTGTGGGTGGAGCGGTAGCCTAGTGGTTGAAGAGATCGCCCGTCTTGCCGAAGACCCGGGTTCGATTCCAGATATGAAAACATTGTGTGAAGCCAATTTCTGGTGTTCCCCGCCGTGATATTGCTGGAGAACTGTTAAAGGCGGAGTTAAACTTAACACACAGACACACACACTCACTCTAATTTGCACAAAATGCTCTTCTCATTTCAAACGGAACTTCAGTTCCAATAGGGTCAGTATGTTTTAAGGGTGGCATTGTCAATTGATGAAAAACAGATGGTATTCTGGTTAGGTTTCTCCTTTGACAAAGTGAGTTTTTACGCCGCTTTCAGGAATGTGTTTTTCATACAAAATTTCGGACGACACTTTGCAATGGGTTTTTTTAAACCAAAGTTGAAACTTATATTTGCCAGTAATGTTTCACCTTCAAATAAGAAATTTATATTTTACACGCAATGCCGTGGGGACATCCAAGGAACACCTGAGGCAGGAATGACACACCTGGCAATCAATCAGTAATCAACACTTTATCGGCAGAATTAAAAGCTGTAACCTGTTTTCCTATTCGTGATACAGGTTAAGTTACGTTACACATTAGAGTGCTGAACGCTTCGACATATATTTCCAAGTGTTATTGAAGAATCTTTAAAAAGAATTGTAGCATTTTTAAAATGTCGTTGACTCCTACCGTGGTCCATACCGTTCTTTTCATGAAATAAAAAAATGTCAGATTTTTTAAGATATCGGTGACCATCTACTGGTAACATATCTTCCACGTCGCTGTGTTTAAATCGGATTTGCTTCCAAAATGGTTGAGAGAGTAAAAACAGTAAAATATATATATAGGTCTACTGTTTCGCTCGAGCAAAATAGAAATATATAGACTTGATTAAGTGTTACCAAAGCGGAGTTCAACACAAAACACTCAGTTATTTAAATGTTACTACACCTGGCTGTCCCTTTCCCTGCACTCCTCCCTCGTAACATATAATGAACTGTGTCAACATTTTAATGATAGTTTGGTAAACTATTCTTAGGACATAAATTCTGCAAAAACCTCACAGAGTTGGTCTTATGTTTTGATTATGATCAGCGTTTCATTGAGTATATGTTTAGTAGTTTTCTAGTTCGATTGCAATTCATCGATCTGCTTTTGAGCCGAACGGACTATAAAACGTTTCATAGACTCGCCCAGTTGTGATCATTCACGCTCAACTTAAAGGGGATGTGGGGCAGGATATTGGTTAAAGCGTTCGCTCATCAACCCAAAACCCCGGGTTCGGATCATACATGGATAATAATGGTGATGTTCATTTCTGGTGTCCCTCACCATGATATTGCTGGAATATTGCTGAAACGGCACAAAATCGTATTCACTCATCGATGCACAAATGAGAGGGGCTATGGGAAGGAGAAACGCTAGGGGAAGGAGAAAGGAGATGATTCAACATGGCACGAGAGAGCAGTTCAGCATGTTAGCATGTTGTCTAATGTTCAGCAAAGCATTTTGTTTTCTTCCATTAACAGGCGGTGGGGTAGCCTAGTGGTTAAAGCGTTTGCTCGTCACGCCGAAGACCCGGGTTCGAATCCCCACATGGGTACAATGTGTGAAGCCCATTTCTGGTGTCCCCCGCCGTGATGTTGCTGGAATATTGCTAAAAGCGGCGTAAAACCAAACTCAGTCAGTCAGTCAGTCAGTCAGTCTTCCATTAACAAAATAACCTAATGGGTCATATCGAGCTAGACACAAATCTATAAACATTGAATATATGGACAGGGAAATGTGACATTAGAGCAAGTTGGCACCTAGGATGGAAGGCCAGGGACACGCGCTATTCAGTAATAGGTTTACTCAGCTGTCATCGATAAGCTTTTATCTGACATCACCTGTACTACAAGGCATCCGATATGCTGCTTATATAAGCACAAGGTCCATTAGGTCTATAAAAACTGGTCCAAACTGATCGCCAGACACAATTCAGTGTCGCCATGTGTCGACTGATATTTGCGTCGGTTCTGGTCCTCTGTTGCGCTTCGGCTGCATCCGCTGTCAACTTCCAGCGTACTATTGTCGCAATCTCCAAGACAACGGACTGGGGTCAGAACATCTTTCTTCGGGGAGGGGCTGGTGCTGACGACATCCGTATCAGACATGAGGTGAAGACTCGGTACCCTGAGGGTTTCTTCGCCCAGACATCCCGAGGGGACAACTATTTGGGCTGGGGAGGCGCTGAGGAGACCCAGGGAAGATACAATCACTATATAGATGCTGAGGGTACTCCCATGATGCACTCCACCAATGACCAGTAAGTTGTTTTTGTTGATTACAGTACTGGTATCTACTCCGTCATAGTACTTGTCGTAAGAGGCGACTGATGGGATCGGCTGGTCAGGCTCGCTGACTTGGTTGACACATGTCATCGTATCCCAATAGCTTATATCGATGCTCATGCTGATGATCACTGAATTGTCTGGTCCAGACTGTATTATTTACAGACCGCCGCCATATAGCTGGAATACTGCTGAGAGCGGCGATAAGCAACAACCAAAACACAAATATAAATTGAAGAAAATGGCATTTGCAAAAAGAAATCGGCGCTGGAGAGAGTCCGCAATAGTCCATTTGCATTTGTACCGGGAGATATATAAAACAAGACAAAAAGATTGATTTAAATACTGACAAAAATCTCCAGTGCCGCTGTGATTACCGACACAGGAGGCTGATTCGCTCTACTTTCTAATAGCTCCGGTGTTCTTGAGATTGAACATGTTAGGACTGACTTCGCACATACACTCAGTAAACTACGGTTTATTACGTGAAGATCCGGGTTAGAATTGATCTTCAGCAACCCGTGCTTGTGGTAAGAGGCGACTAACGGGATCGGGTGGTCAGGCTCGCTGACTTGGTTGACACATGCCATCGTATCCCAATTGGTAGATCGGTTGTTCACTGGATTTTCTGGTCCAGACTCGATTATTTACAGTCAGTAGCCATATTGCTGGAATATTGCTGAGTGCTGAGTTAAACAACAACCAAACGCATTTATTGAAATGATGTCGGCAACAATATAAATTATCTCCCTTGTTCTCGTTCTTTTGTTGTTTTTACATGACGCCGAATGTGAATTTATTATTTATTTAATGTTGATCATTTATTTTTTTAATGTTGATCATTTATTTATTTAATGTGAATTTATTATTTATTTAATGTTGATCATTCAGGCCTTGTACTACAACCTTAACTGTTTACAAAAATATATCTATGAATGTTTTGTTTTGTATTAGTTGTCCAGTAGTTGTAAATTCATAGAGTTATCTCCCTTGTTGACCTTAAAGTTGACATGACATTCAGGAGCCATGATATCGGATCAATCATGTTCTGTAGTTCTGATTAAGCAATATGATTGATGCTGATTGGCGGTATTAAACCAATTGGTCCATTGTTGGTTGTCTGCAAAACACTCCACGAAGTCGTATCATCATAGCAGAGCTTTATCCATGACGTCACAGTCGACTTCACGTGAAGTCATTTCTACAAATGACTGAGGTTCAGAAAAATGTGTCTGTGAAAGCGAAGTCCCAGGACTTACAATAAATCAACCCCGATTGATAATACGTACTTCCTCGGAGCTTTAAAGTTTTTCAGCTATTTGTCTTTTGTCCAAGTGAGTGTGTTAGGGTCGTTTTGGGAAGCGTGACCCAGATATCTGAGCCCGACATTAGTTGTGACCTTACTTCCTGTCGTCAGTGTATCATGTTATTATCTCTTGGTTACAGCTCCTTCGACCACTTTAACTCCTCCCTCCTCGGTCTCGTTGGGGAGAGTCTCTGGCTGGCTGATCTCTACATGGACTGCGACCAAACCAACAACGGCTGGTTCGATTTCAAGGTAGGTAACTCACACTCTGGTGAAATGTCATGATGTTAGTCTGTTGTTGATTGTACTGTGTTAAGTACCCTCTCTTCTTCTTACTGTTGCTACCAGACTACTACAATCTTCCACCTCTTCTTGTACTACTATGAGGTCAAAATTACCTCTGTTTACCCAGCTGAAAATGGGTACCTGGTGGGATAAAGTCATGTGACTATAACCCTCTAGCGCCTAATAGGCAGCTTGGGTTATCCGAGGTAATAATGATCGGATTGTTTGGGCGTTATGAACATACATTGTGCATGTAGCAATGCGCATGATAAATGGACTATTACTATTAATACTATGGGGGCGATGGGGTAGCCTAGTGGTTAAAGCGTCACGCCGAATTAAGATCCGGGTTCGATTTAACACATGGGTACAATGTGTGAAGCCCATTTTTGGTATACGCCGCCGTGATATTGCTAAAAGCGGAGTAAAACTAAACTCACTCATTCACTACTAATACTACATCAACAAATCAACAACTACTAAAGCGATGTATCCTCCTTCACCCACTGCCTACAAGCCCCCCCATCTCGAACCCCCCCCCAGGAATATGAAATAGTCACAACTCGCCACCAAACTATATCCGTTAATACCGTTATTGCTGCACAGGGTTACATGGTGGATCTTCGACCAGGCGTCTACGGCGAGGGATGGGAACACTACATCTACGCGACCACCTGCAACGTCGACGGGGAAGTCGTGGACGTTCCCGACAGAGGCAACCATCACGCCAAATGCGGCTACTTCAACCTTGGAATCTGGAACAACGGTCGATGCTGGGCCACGAAGCTAGATTACCCGACAATGCTGTTCCGCAGTGCGTGGACGGAATCGGAGTTTTAGATTCGAACTCAGAAGTGGTGGACCTATTGAGCCACCATGTACCTTTTGCAGATTCGTTGATTTTGCTGTTTAGAGTTGATTCCACCATATTATGCTTATCAATAATGATTATGACAAGAAAACATTTTCCGAAATATATCGGCTTGGAATGCTGTTTGAAGATTGCTGCTGTGTATTACTGAATAAAGTGCTGATGTAGAGTCCCCACATATCTTCTTTTAGTCTGTCTCACAGTCCCTGAACCACATTATTTTCCCTACAGCCTAGCCTTCCCTGTAGTGCTAAAGCCCTAAACGAAGCAAGTCTAGATTTCCCCAGGTTCTGAATCTCTGGTCTCCCAAGGGCTCCTTTTCAATTTAAATGGGCTTGTTTGTTACTATCAAAATTACATATATTCAGGGACTAAGCCTTAGTCTAATCTTCTTTATGAACAGCATGATATCGTAGTATCGATTATCGAAGTTAAAATTTTAGATACGGCGTGTCCATTAGCCTGTGTAATGAGTGAGTGAGTGAGTTTAGTTTTACGCCGCTTTTCGTAATATTCCAACAATATGACGACGGGGCACACTAGAAATTGTACCCATGTTGGGAATCGAACCCGGGTCTTCGGCGTACTTGAACTTACTTACTGCTGAATGATACCAAACTATATGAAATATTGATTAAATTTTAAAAAATATGTCTCTTGCTTTTTCACAATCTGCTAAAAAATGGGCTTCTTGATCGATAAACAAAGATGATGTGTTTTGTTGTTGATTTACCAGTCACCATTGCCTATAAAATATACCGGAAGACATTCATTAAAGGACTGACTGACTGACTGAGGTTAGTTTAACGCCACTTTTAGCAATATTGCAGGAATATCACGGCGGGGGACACCAGAAATGGGCTTAACACATTGTGCCCATGTGGGGAATCGAACCCGGGTCTTCGGCGTGACGAGCCAACGCTTTAACCACTAGGCTACCCCACCGCCCCTTCATTAAAGGAAAACTGTTTATGTGTATTATAAATAAAGATAATATCTCATATTTTTTGAAAATCGATAACAATTACGAAAGCCTAATCCTGCCAGTTTTGTAACAAATATTACTTTTTCAGCGACAATTCTCTTTGCTAATTCAATAATTTTCTCGTTACTCTGACTACTTTCTCGTTGTTTCAATTATTTTTTCGCTGCTTTGATTAATTTCTCATTGCTTCGAGTATGTCCTCGTTGCTTCAAGTTTCTTTCAAAAACTTGAAATTTTATATATTTTCTCGTTACTTCAAGTTTCTAACAAAACCTGTTAAATACTGGAAGCAACGAAACAATAGTTGAAGTAACGAGAAAATACTCGCAGCAGCGAAAAACATATTCGAAGCAACGAAAAAATATTCGAAGCAACGAAAATTATTCGAAGCAACGAAAAAACATTCGACGCAACGAGAACATGGGCTGAAAAAAATATTTTATGCTACAATAGTGTCAGCATTAGGATTTCGTAAAAAATAACAGCAAACAGAGACAAAAATATATTAGCATTAAATTGTTAGTATTGCCCAATAAGGTCAGACTTGCACAGCTTGAATTTGTTTTGGGGACACATGGTGATGTGTTGAAGTAGAGTTGTTGATGATGAAGTTGCGTGATGAGATTTGATATGAAAAACTCTACAACAATAGAAATAGAACTTGTAACACGGAGGTGTAACGCTGATGCTTTGTTGTCAAGGGTTACCAAGATGCACTTAACAAGTCAGTATGGCACTACGACATCCGGGTACATGCACCCGGCAGCAACTGCGACACCGACAGACCAGTAACCTGCAATGACGTAATTGACATGTACCTACCTACAAAAGACAGGTATAGATGTGCCATTGGTAACATGGATGGAACGGTGAGTTATATAGTTTGGTTTGGTTGTTGTTTAACGCCGTACCCAGCAATGTTCCAGCTATATGTCGTGGTCTGTAAATAATAGATTTTAACAACACACAAACAAATGATACATCTAAAATGAGTTTAGTTAATTTGATTATTGAGAAAGACGTAAGAACCATGGTATCCGAAACATGGCCATGGGCTCAAACACAGTCCAGTCGCAGAACGTCACCCGGGACTAGATTTTCTCTCTTACCGACTGACTGACTGAGTTTGGTTTTACGCCGCTTTTAGCGATATTCCAGCAACATCACGGCGGGGGACACCAGAAATGGGCTTCACACATTGTACCCCTTTCGGGATTCGAACCCGAGTCCTCGGCGTGACGAGCCAACGCTTTAGCCTTTAGGCTACCCCACCGCCCATCGAAGCTCTCTTAGCGCTAAGATAGTCGTAAGTGCCTTACCTCAACAATAACTTACGACTGTTCAAGGGCTAAGAGAGCTTAAAACATCTAGGTTCTGCGTCTGTTCTCACCATAGACCGAGCAACAAGACACGGGAGGAAGAATGTAAAACTGGGGATCTTCACCTCTTTCCTCCATGGTGTAGTTGCTAGATTATCCGGCCCGAGAGCGGACTGTTGGTGGTTAGATCCCAGATTGTGTCACTCCAAATAATGTTATATATTATTGCCTTGCCTGGAGCTCGGCATTTAAGTAGTAAACCAAGGACTGTGTATTGTTGATACTGATATTAAAGTTATTGTTGTACAGGCCATCTGGATCACACGCTACAAGATATGGATGTACCTGGAACTTGAAGAACGCAAGGTAGATTACGTAAGCGAGATGGAGAATATTTGTAGACGATGCTTAAGCTTGATACGAGAGGAAAGGTTGAGTCGATGCGGGTCTTAAACATTGGCTGTATAGACCTGATGTACCTAGAAAAACATTCAGATCGCATATGGGATCCAAACCAACGGGCGTAGATTTCTGGAACGTCTTAGAGACGCAAATCCGCGTCTCGGAACGCTGCACTTTGGACGACTGGGTGACATGGGGCCCGTTCCACGAAGTGATCCGGGCGTAATGACTGCCGTAGGCCAACGTTAAAGTATGGAAGTTACGATTACTTTGACGTTAAGATCCCTTTGTGGAGCCGGGCCCTGTCCTCCAGAGTTCAAACAATATGGTACAGATCTGTATTTTAACGTTATTCATGTTCGGTGCAAGAAACCACACAGCTCATAAAGTACCTAATGCAATAGTTTACTTTCAATATGGGAAGCTGTTTTGCTAGTTTGTTTCTTGGCTATTGTGACAGCATAGTCCTCTGTCAACTGCAGTATTTTGGTCCCTACTTCAGAGGTTTCTGTAAAGATATCACTATCTTCCCCAGCTCTGCTTACATACGCACAATCTAGGGCTAGGACGAGCCCACATTTTCTACCCGGATACCCCACCCCTATTACCCTATCCTACCCGGATACCAGTTTTGTTAATTCCTGACATCAAATTTTTAGGAAATGGCAATATATTCTTCAGCACCGAGGCTACAATTTCGAGTTTTTCAATATCTTAACCATGTATTATTTTCAAAACAGGTGACCGACCGCACAATTATGTCTAAATCTTCAAAGACAGTAAAACCTTTTAATCATGAAAGAATAACATATTACATTGTTTAATATGTTAGTGCATGATCATAGCAGGTCCGGGTATTGAGACGGGTACCCGGGTCCAACTCATCACCCATCATGGTGGGTATCCGTCCCGGATATCCGGGTTACCCGTCCAAGCCCTAGCGCAAGCGTACGAAAGTCCGTTCGGAGACCAAACTGTACAATACTTTCTGAAACTATCCCGTCTACTAAAAAGAACCAAATATGACCTTTCTATCAACCTAATTTTGAACAGTACATTATAATTAAAAATTATCAGCTGGAAAATACATGAAATTAACAACAGTTTTCGCTTCAGTTTCAGAGAGACTACGGGGAACTAGCCTTTGGTGTTGTGATGTTCGTCATTTTCGGCGCCACCATCTTGGCCATAATGTTTGGCCTCCTACTGGAACTGTTTGTAAGATAACTTGTTTAAGTGGCATTTAGAAGGTGGTGTGATGAACAACAAGGAGAGTTCTATGGATATACACCTTCTTTAATATGATATGAGCGACGTTTCGGTGTAGCTACTAACACCGTTATCAAGCAAAAAATAAATAAAAAACCCAAAAAAACCCCCCGGTGCTTGATAACGGTGTTAGCAGCTACACTGAAACGTCGCTCATATTAAAGAAGGTGTGTATCCATAGAACTCTCCTTGTTGTTGGTAAGATGTTACTAACTATCGATGCAGTTTGTTAATGTGCTTCACTATTTCTACAATGACGGGTTTATGTAGTCAATCGTTTCTTGAACAGACAATCACGTGGTGTTGTTGACAATGACCCATGACGTCACCTATCCTGATCCATTTAGACATCTATCATTCGAAGCCGGAATCAGCATTATGCAAACAACGGTTGTGTCGAATTCAAAAGGACCAATAATGTTGGTGCAGAAAAAAAAGTAAAAAAAAAAAAAAACGATCACAAAAAAGCTCAAACACTTCATCATATCTGCCAGTTTGTCATAAGCGTAGTTTATTGTACTATAAATGGAAGTGACGAATAGAATAGACAGAGGCAGATTTGATTTGTAAAATAAAAAGTATTTTTAGTTGCGTTTTGTTTCTCAACAGCGAAAATATACACGGAAATCTCACCAAGAGGAAGGTAAGATACAAACCAAACTAATACGTCTGTGCATTTGTTATATGTATTTGATGAGTTAATTAATTAGCAGTCTCTTCAAACTGCTGAATTCGTCTCTGGGTGTATCCTCAAAACTGCCTCTAGATCTAAAGGTCTTCGGTTACCACTGTTTAATACGAAGTTTCTCTACTTTTCACAACACTAACCAATAGAGTCTGTATGAGTTTAGTTTTCAATTTTTTCCAGTGTTCACAGACGATATATCACTAACGGAATACAATGTTATGGACACTGAACCAGGGATGACCATATAAACATCCACTTATTGACACAGAAACATGGCTGTGCTTGGAAGACCGAGTCAGAACTACTGACAATAGAGGACTGACAGAACTAGCAATTAGACGTTTTTATATTGATATAATGAAAGTTTTTATTCTCGCAACAAAAATGTCCGCATGTTCACATGATTTTGTAAATAAAAGTGTTTGTTAAAGGAACGTGTTGTTTGTATAATGAGTATACCCGAGTAAACTTGTAACAAGAGTCACCATGAGACTGGTTGGTAGTTTACC